CAATCATGGGTAAGACTGCCGACCTGACTGCTGTCCAGAAGGCCATCATTGACACCCTCAAGCAAGAGGGTAAGACACAGAAAGAAATTGCTGAAAGAATAGGCTGTTCCCAGAGTGCTGTATCAAGGCACCTCAGTGGGAAGTCTGTGGGAAGGGAAAAGTGTGTCAGAAAACGCTGCACAACGAGAAGAGGTGACCGGACCCTGAGGAGGATTGTGGAGAAGGGCCGATTCCAGACCTTGGGGGACCTGCAGAAGCACTGGACTGAGTCTGGAGTAGAAACATCCAGAGCCACCGTGCACAGGCGTGTGCAGGAAATGGGCTACAGGTGCCGCATTCCCCAGGTCAAGCCACTCTTGAACCAGAAACAGTGGCAGAAGCGCCTGACCTGGGCTACAGAGAAGCAGCACTGGACTGTTGCTCAGTGGTCCAAAGTACTTTTTTTTGGATGAAAGCAAATTTTGCATGTCATTCGGAAATCAAGGTGCCAGAGTCTGGAGGAAGACTGGGGAGAAGGAAATGCCAAAATGCCAGAAGTCCAGTGTGAAGCACCCACAGTCAGTGATGTCTGGGGTGTCATGTCAGCTGCTGGTGTTGGTCCACTGTGTTTTATCAAGGGCAGGGTCAATGCAGCAGCTATCAGGAGATTTTGGAGCACTTCATGCTTCCATCTGCTGAAAAGTTTTATGGAGATGAAGATTTCATTTTTTAGCACAACCTGGCACCTGCTCAAAGTGCCAACCTCAGCAGTGCCACAGGCTGATTGCCTCCATGCCACGCCGCATTGAAGCAGTCATTCATGCAAAAGGATTCCTGACCAAGTATTGAGTGCATAACTGAACATGATTATTTGAAGGTTGGTGTTTTTTGTATTAAAAACACTTGTCTTTCATTGGTGGGATGAAATATGCTAATTTTTTGGGACAGGCATTTTGGGTTTTCATGAGCTGTATGCCATAATCATCAGTATTAAAACAATTAAAGACCTGAAATATTTCAGTTGGTGTGCAATGAATCTGAAATATATGAAAGTTTAATTTTTATCATTACATTATGGAACATAATGACCTTTATCACAATATGCTCATTTTTTTAGAAGGACCTGTACTTTACTGATCTTCTTTGCTATTACACACCTGCCCAAAGTCTTCTCTCCTTCTTATCCATTTCTCTTTTAATACCTCCTGCCCGCTTAACAATCATGGGACCCAGAGCCTTCTCCCGCAAAGCAAATATGATAAGTGAAATAAAGAAAAATTGAGCTTCTGTAATTTATAATTGCAAATGTCACATTTTCTAGACTTAATTTCAATTGTAAATCTCCTGTTTTTGATAAAATATTTTTTCCAAAAGAAAGACCAACAGATTGTAATTTGTAGTCACTGTGACACTATTTTGACTCGTGCACGTCTTCGTTCAGTTTCAGGTTCCACAAGGCTCTGGACTGGTCCAGCTGTGGAGAGATGAGGTGGAACACCAGACCTGCAATGGTCCAGTGTGTAAATGATGTTCTGAAGTCTGGGAAGATGCACGACATCATGCTTCACCCAAACGAGCTCGTTACCTCGACCACACACACTAAACTTCTGGAGGACGTCGTCCAATGTATAATAACGCCTTTAAACATTATATGTTCTCTGCTTGGTACATTATTTTTCTTTTTTTGTTTTAACAATTTAAAACATGACAGTGATGTCACTGTTTAAAGGAAACAACTGCTCAATAAATTAATAAAATGCAACTTGTTGTGTTTGGGTTCTTTCATCTAAGGTAGACATGGTGTGACCCATGGACTGGTTTAGATTTTTTGTTTTTACTGGAACTGACCTTCAAAAGAGCCAGAAACAGACTCAGCAGCTGATCCTCCGTAGAAACATTATATGGACTACAGGCCATGGATTATTGTTTTATGACATTTAGTGAAGGTTTTTGTTTGGATTAAGACAATAAATGTCTCTATTTCACCACAGATGAACTGTTCCAGTTGCCATATCTTTTGAAATAAAACTGCACAACACAAAGTAATTTAAACAGGAATGGGTAGAAGATTAAATCAAATTTAACATATTTCTTAAAAATTAAATAAAGATGAAAAAAAAAAACAGGAGCAAGAGTCAAGTTTCCAGGATTGGGACAGGACAGGATTTTTTTCTGTGGGACCAGGACAGGACATGAGTGAAAATCCACTCCTGTGTTATCCTCTAGTCTGGACTATCATTTCACCACTTCGTGTTCATGGATTTAATTAGCTTGGTTCAATATTATAACTAAAAACGGAGGTTTTTAAAAGTTTTCTTAGCTTTGATCATAAACAACATACTGGAATCTTATTCCTAGATTTTAAAAATAACCAGATCATTAAGAAAAGCCATTCTACAACAGAGGTGGGTGGCCATGAATGCAAGTTTCCCCGTGAGCGACGATCCAACTCCGGCTGCTAGGTTGGGCGAGTCACGGGGTGAGATAAGGGTGTGACTTGCAAATGAAAGTTGTTAAATTTGGGTGAGTCACCTTCAACACAACCCGAAGTATAACTAACCTAAGGTCACTCTGGGTAATACTCAAGTGCTAGATTTAGTTTGTGATACCCCTTAGAGGAGAGGCTGCAGTGGGGTTTAGCCTCAACTCAGGTTGTAACTTCACTGGGTAGATCGACTTTTGTCTTCCAACTTAAAATTCAAAGTATGGCACATCGTAAAATCGTCATAATCACAAAATATAAAAGTGTTAAAAGTTCTTTTGAATTATTTTAGAATGTCTATGTTCAGTTGTTTCAGTATAATTGATCAAGTAGTACATTTCTGCTCCGTGCTGCAGAGCTGAAGCTGTGTGACATCCCTTTGATGTCCTGCTGCACTTCTCTTCTCTACAATTTAAATTTAAATACTATAACATTTTAAATTAACAATCCATGCTGCATGGATTGTTAATTTAAAATGTTATAGTATTTAAATTTAAATAGTTTATTTTATTTTTAAGGAGGGGCAGCACAGTGGCACAACTTTTAGAGCTGCTGCCTCTCAGCAAGCAGGTCCCCGGTTCAAATCCCGGTCTGGGGGCCTTTCTGGGTGGAGTTTGCATGTTCTCTCCGTGCATGCGTGGGTTTTCTCCGGTTACTCCGGTTTCCTCCCACAGACCAAAAACGTCATGTTAGGCTGATTGGTAACTCTAAATTGTCCCTAGGTGTGATTGAAAGTGAATGGTTGTTTGTCTCGATGCGGCCCTGTAATTGACTGGAGACCCGTCCAGGGTGTCCCTCGCACAGTGATTGTTGGATATGGGCACCAGCGACCCCCGTGACCCAAAATGGAAGAAGTGGGTAAAAGATTAAAAGATGATGGATGGAGATTGGGAGTAACAGGTGATGAGTGAGTATGATTGCAGCCTGACACATGTCGTGACAAAGTTTACTGAACTTGGACTACGGTAGGGTTGGGCCACAGGTATCAAACTCCAGGCCTAGAGGGCCGGAGTCCTGCAACTTTTAGATGGGTCTCTGATGCCACACAGCTGAATCAAATAAGGAGGTCATTAGCAGGACTTTGTAGAACTTGACTGCACTGAGAAGCTATTTCAGTCATTTGATTCAGCTGTATGGCATCAGAGACACATCTAAAAGTTGCAGGACTCCGACCCTCGAGGCCTG